GGCCCAGGGGAGGTCCGAGACGGGCCAGAGTGGCGCGGAGTGCGCCTCCCGGAGAGAAGACGGGAACGGTCTGGAGTTCGAGCTCGTCCTGGACTCCGCCTTGAGCCCGTCTTGCGTTCCGAAAAGGAGATGGAGCGCAGCTGGCGGCGGGCCGCCGCCGCCACCGCCGTCGTCGTCGCCGTCGTCGTCGTCTTCGTCGTCGTCGTCGTCGCCGACGCCGGCGTCGTCACCGACGCCGTCGTCGTCGTCGTCGTCGCCGCCGACGCCGTCGTCTTCGTCGTCGCCGCTATCGTCCCCTGAGGCCCGACGTCGCGACAAGAACATGCAACCTCGTGAACAGTCACTACCGCAGCCCTTGACCTTCTCTTTCTGCTGCACCTCCCGAGCCTGATCGATCCGTGAGGGCCCCGGGGCCCAAAATATTGCGAGACCGCTCGGCGCGGAACATGTGCGACGCCAGGACCTTCACTCTGTGTGCTCTCGCTGGCGGCACGGTTCGATCTGCTGCGATTCCTGTGCGGCCCACTCTGCCGCGGGGCCAGACCGTCGTCCCGTTCGACGGGTGGCTGCGCCCTCCCCCCTTTCGCTCCTGCCCGAAACGCGCGGCGCCAGGGCCTCTCCTCCCGTCGTATGCCCCCCCCCCCCCCCCCCCCCCACGGGGTCCCCCTCGCCGTCTCGGAGCCTCGTGGCCCGGTGCCCGCCAGCACCCCCCCCCCTTCCCCGGCGAGGCGCAGGGCCAAGCCCGCGCCCCTCCCCCGCCACCCTGCCTGCAGGCCCCTCGGGCCCCTCCACCCCGCCCAGGGGCCGCCCCTGCCCCCGCGCGCTGCCTCGAGGGCCCCCCGCGCCTGCGACGGCGCGCCGAGGACGCTGCTCTTTGGGCGCGCGCGCCTCCTCGCCCGGCGCTTGCCGCGGCGCGCCCGATGCCCGTGGGCGCGGCGGCGCGCCGGGCGCGGCGCCGCGGCGCCTTCGCGCGGGAAGAGCGGCGGGCCAGCGGAGCAGGACCGCGGGAGTCGACCAGACGTACACGCTGGTCGTTGACAGCAGGTATTTGTTTGGATGCTCCACGTCCCCATCCACTTCGAGCGCCTCGTCTGCTTCTTTTGCCGTGTCTTCTTTTTCCACTGGGAGGGCCTGGGCCCATTCTACTGGATCCGCCTTCCTGCATGCTTCCTGCGTTCCCCTGCCTCTTCCGACCGACGGGCAAGAGTGACCCTTCGACGGAGTGATCTTCGATGCGGGCCCCAACGGAGTCCTCCGATCGCCGCACGCAGAAGCGGCAGCAGCGCGGTGCGCCTTCTCCCGCCCAGTTTTTGCCCCCCCCCCCCCCCCACAGCCTCCCCCCCCCCTCCCCCGCGCCCCCCGAGAAGCCGCGCACCAGAGGTCCCTCTTGCCCAGGGTCACTCCTGCGTGGAGCCGAGGGCGAGAGGCCAGGGGGGGGCTGGCTTTTGAGTTTGAGAAAACTGCTTTTCAATGCAAAAAGATTGCTCTTGAATTCAAAACATTGGTTTTTTGAATTCAAACACCCCCTGGCCGCGCACCCGTCGTTTTCCTTCTGCCGCCCTCTGCTGGTTCTCTTCCTGCCGCCTCCCTCCCCCCCCCCTCCCTCCACGAGGGCGCCCAGTCCCTTATATAAAGGCGGCCCTGGCAGGCTACCCGGGGCCGGACGGGCGCGAAGCCCCAGGCCCGGGGGTCCCCCTTCTGCAGTGGGGGTGGGGACCCACTCGCGTGCCCCCAGGTCGAGACCGAGGGGGAGGGGGAAGGGAGGGAGGGAGGGGCCCTGGCAAAGGATCCAAGGGCAAGCCATCCATACGGCACCGATGGCGGGCCACCTCGGCGAGAGTCGATGACCAGCGCCAACATGGCCCGCACTCCGTCAAACGAGCCCAATTCACTGCAGCGCGAGCCTCACGACCTCTCGCGTTGCCGCTGGTGGCGGCACTGCTGGGTCAGGGGCGGCGTGAGGGCCTCCTCTCCAAGACCCCTGCACCAACACCGGACTCCTTGCGCGAAACGCCCAGCGCCTCCTGACCCCCAAATGTCCACTCGGCCGCATCCCCCTCGGGATCCAGCTCTCTCGGAAGAGGCGCGGCCACAGGAGCATGGCCCGACAGCGGCGCCCCCGAGGTCTCGGACGAGGCAGCCGCAGCAGCGGAGGCGGCCTCGGCGCACGCGCCCTGGAAGGCCGCCGCACGGACCGCACGAGGAGGCCCCTCCCTCCTGGGACAGAGCCCCCCTGGCGATCCGCGACGAAGCCTCAGCTCGTTTCTTCCTGGTGTGGCCTGGGCACGTCTTGCGGAGGAGATGCCGGACATCGTTGGGGGCGAGACGGCCACGCACGTGGCGGTGCGTCATGCCATACATGCCCCACCCCCCCAGGGATTGGGTGGCGGGCACAAGCTCTCCCCCATCCCAGGCCTGGCAGCCTGCCTGCAGGCACGAGGCCCTTGCCCGTGCAGGGGCACGGCCGGTGGTACAGGGTCGGAGCAGGGCGTGGCGCAGAATTCAACCAGGAAGCTCGAGTGCACCAGCTGGGCACACTTCTGACGGCGCCACTTGGACGCTGCTTTGGAGAGTTCATGCTGGGAGCCCCGCGCGGCTAACTTCGTTCTGGGGACCTTCAAAGTCCTTCGCGCAATCTGTTCGCGCTCCGCACGGCCCATGTCGGATTCTAGGGTCAACTCTAGCCTCTAGCGCCTTGCAGGCTCGCATGCGTACCAGAGCAGCCGCCGCGTCCCAGCAGTCCGCGTGGGCCGCTGTTTCCACAAGCCCCACCACCCCACGCGCTCTCCGACGCCCAACCCGACCCCTACAGTGGAAACCCGTGCCAAGGAACACCCTGCTTGCCTCCAGGGTGCGCTGGGTTTTTTGGGTCTCGATGGTTTTGCTATGGGAAGCGCGACGCCCCCGCACGAAAAGCCAATGGACGTCCTGGGGTCTCAGGGATGGGTTTCTCGTGGAAGGTTTCTTGTGGTCGAGCTCCTGCTGCATCAGCAGCTGCACTGCCAGCGGCCAGGAGCAGGTCGCGATCAGACAGCAGGCGATGGTCCAGATCATCCTCAGCGTGTGAGTCTGTCCACTACAGGAGTGATCGTGCTGGCTCCCCGGGCCTCCCTGGGCAACCCTGATGTGGTGCCGCGGGGAGTATGGGGGAGGGAAGTGGAGGACGGGGGGAGGAAGAGGAGGAGGAGGAGGAGGAGGAGGAGGAGGAGGAGGAGGAGGAGGTGTAGGAGGCGGAGTGTAGGACGAGGAGGAGGAGGAGAGGAGGAGGAGGAGGAGGAGGAGGAGGAGGAGGAGGGAGGAGGGAGAGGGAGGAGGGAGGAGGGAGGCGGGAGGAGGGAGGAGGGAGGAGGGAGGAGGGAAGGAGGAGGAGGGAGGAGGAGGAGGAGAGGAGGAGGAGGAGGTAGGAGGATGGCGGATCTCGGGAGTGAAGGGGAGGAGGGGGAGTCGGAAGAGGAGAAGGAGGAGGAGGAGGAGGAGGAGGAGGGACGACGCCGACACGAGGACGACGAGGACACCCGAGGACGAGGAGGTGGAGTTGGACGAGAAGGTGGAGGAGGGAGGAGGGAGTTGGAGGAGGAGGGGGGGGGAGGGAAGGGGAGGAGGGAGTTGGAGGAGGAGGAGGGGGAGGAGGAGGAGGAGGAGGAGGAGGAGGGGGAGGAGGAGGAGGAGGAGGTGGAGGAGGAGGAGGAGGAGGAGGAGGAGGAGGAGGAGGAGGACCAGTGTAATCCCAAGCTCCAACCTCCCTCCCTCCAACCTTACTCCGAGCTCCCTCGTCCCAGGTCCCTACAGAGATTCAAGTCCAATAAAGGAAGGGCCCCGTTGAAACAAACGTTTGAACATCTGGAACTGTGCCAACAAACCAGTCACCCGACTTCATCGCCGCGAATCGCAGGTGCTGTTGCGTCGTGACGATCGTGAATCGTGCCAGAACGCACGAAACAACACCACGAAACAACGTAATTGTTGCGCCCGGGCAGCCCGACATCATACCAACACGCCACTCCTGGTACGTTAACCATGAGAAGCCGTGGACTTGTTGTAATCTCTCAGGACGAATGTGCGCGGCGCTAGGGTGAGAGCCATACTTTGGAAAGGAACCACCCTCCATCCGTGAAGCTCTTGCATTTGTATAAGGAATGCGCGCAGCGCTATGGCAAGAATCTCATGTTGAAAACGGCCCGCCCTCTTATCCGGGAAACTCTTGCATGTTTGTGTGACGAATGTGCGCGGCGCTCAGGCGAGAGCCACATTTTGAAAACGACCCGCCCTCCATCCGTGAAGCTCTTGCAAACGCGGCGCTCAGGGGAGAGCAGCATTTTGAGAAACACATGCCCTCAAGCAGTGAAGCCCATTGCGCTGAGATAGATGTGCGCGGCGCCAAGGCGAGAGCCACAGTTTGAAAGCAACTCAACCCCCCTCCGTCCTCCTTCCGTGAAATTGCTGCAACTTCTGAGTTGCAGAATTGCAAAATGTGAGACAGTATCAGGCGATACGCTCGTCCTGCCCTTCCGACTGGCCGTGCGACAGCGATGGGGTGGGGAAAGTAGGAGGAGGGGGGGGGCGATACGGAAAAGGAATGGAGAGGGGAGGAGTAAGAGTAGGAGTAGGAGGGTGCGATACAGAAATTGAATAGATGGGGGATGGAAGAGAAAGAGCGAGAGGGGAGCGAGAAGGGATCGCCACACTGTGGCTCAAGATCCAGGCAAACAGGTGCGGGCGAAGAGGGGAAGGCAGGGTGTAGGGAGAGGATCATGGGAGGAAGGGCGGAATGAGGAGGAGGAGGAGGAGGAGGAGGAGGAGGAGGAGGAGGAGGAGGAGGAGGAGGAGGAGGAGGAGGAGGAGGAGGGAGGAGGGGCGAAGGAAGTTGAGGACGTGACAGAAGAGGGAGGAATGGAGGAAACGGGGGGAACACCAGGTTCAGTCACGGGCGGCGCAGGATGTCGTCAAGCGAGTTCGCTTGAAGAGCGAGGACGCGGCTTGGGCCACACCTGTTCTCCCGCCGCCGCCACATTGGCACGTCCCCAGCCACTCCGACACTGGGCCTGGACGGAAGAAGGAGGGAGGAGTTGGAGGAGAGAGGAGGAGGAAGGATTCTTTTGAAGAGGATGAGGAGGAAGAAGAAGAGTAGGAGGAGGCGGAGAGGAGGAGGAGGAGGAGGAGCGCCAAGAGGAGGAGGAGGAGGAGGGGAGGAGGAGGAGGAGGACTTATAATGACAACGAGGAGGGAGAAGGAGTGAGGAGGAATCAGAAGGAGGAGGAGGACGAGGAGGAGGAGGAGGAGGAGGAGGAGGAGAGGTGGAGGAGGAGAGGTGGAGGATGCGGAAGGAGAAGTGAGGAGGAGAAGGACGAGGGAGGAGGAGGAAAGCTGTGGTGGAGGAGGAGGAGGAGGAGGAGGAGGAGGAAAAGGAGGTGGAGGAGAAGGGAGGAGCTGGAGGATGGAGGGGATGACCACAGGTGTAGGTATATCAGTTTCGATTTCGGTTCGAGTCGTGCGTGACGCGGGCGCGGGCGAGGCGAAGCAGCGCGAGTCCTTGCACCGGCAAGTCCCAAGTCACGACAGAAGGAGTCGCGTCTCCGTGCGCGGGGGCGTAGCGTGCCTGGAGTTGTCCTGCGGTTGTCCCGTGATTGTCTTGTGGTTGCCCCGATGGCTGTCCCCACGACTGCCCCTTCCCCCCGGGCCCCGCAGACGGGTGGAGACGCAGGAGTGGCAGAGGAGGAGGAGGAGGAGGAGGACGAGGAGGAGAAGGAGAAGAAGCAGGAAGGGGAAGAGGAAGAGGAAGAGGAGGGGGAAGAAAGGGCGGAGGAGGAAGATGAGGAGGAGGACGAGGAGGAGGAGGAGGAGGAGGAGGAGGAGGAGGAGGAGGCAAGGAGGAGGAGGGGGCGACGAGGAGGGAGAATGAGCGAGCGGAGGAGAAGACCCCGAAAGCAGAGGAGAAGGAAACAGAAGAGGAGGAGGAGGTGGAAGAGGAGGGGAAAATGAGAAGCAGTAGGAGTTGAGTCGGTTGGAGAAGAGGAGGAGCAGGAGGACGAGGAGGAGGAGGAGGAGGAGGACGGAGCGGAGAAGGGAGGAGAAGGGAGGACGGGAGGAGGAGGAGGAGGAGGAGGAGGAGGAGTGAGAAAGAGAGGACGGAGGATGAGGAGGATATGAGGAGGAGAAGAAAAGAGGGAGGACGGGGGGGGAGGAGCAGCAGGAGGAGAAGGAGGGAGTGAGACGAGGAAGGGCCCGAGGACGCTGGTAGCTGGCCGCCAGCGGCAGATGCCCCTGGGCTCGTCCAAGAGCTGCAGCAGCCTGCACGGGCCGTCCCTGGAGCCCGACGCCTTGGCCGCACCCGGCGATGATCCAGGACGGCCCTCTGCCTCCATCCTCCTCCTCCTATAAGCATTACGCCTCCTACTCCTGCGCTACCTGCATCTACGAACTACCTGCCGACCCCTTTCTCCTCCTCCTCCCTCAGACTACTCCTACTCCCTCCTCCTCCGCCTCCTCCTCCTCATCCCTCCTCCGTCCTACTTCTCCGCTGGCGTCCAGATTTGACAAGCTACTATCTTGCGTGACCAGGATCCCGATGAAGGTCCATCGACCCCAATAGTTCAGGAAACGGCATGTCCCACACCTCCACCTTTCACTCCCACTGAGGATCCCCATGCTTGTGGCATCCGACTCGGTCCTATCCCCATCCCGGCCCCACTGGGGAGCTGTTCCGAAGGCCGTGGCCCCAAGTACCTACGCGCGATATGTGCATGCACATGGGATGTTGGCATACATCGCCAGTCACTGGATCGGAAGGCTTGGTTTCAGGTCCTGAGATCATGCCAGATGTAATCGATATCTACCCAGCTGGGCTAGCAGGGGGTGTCAAGGACTAGCATGGCCAGCGCCGCCTTCCTGTATGGGCTGCTGTGGGCGCCACCACCGCCCACGAACAGCAATGGCCTCTGGGATTCCACGCTCGCGCGCTCCCGACAGCCCCGAACGCCTGCCCACTCGGAGGGCTCTCCGCGGTTGCCGAGTTCGAAGCAGACATCTGGGCTGGTACCTACACGTGCACCGCACTACGTTATGTGTGCACGATGACACTTCGAATTGTGCGCTCTCAAGGGGCACCCACTGGATCGCAAGATCATGTTTGATGGTCTGGTTCAGACTATGACGCGTATGTTAAAGGGATTACATTGGCAAAAACATTCGAGGACACCAGCTTCTCTCTTATAAGGAAATGGCAGATGCGGCAGGTCGTATCGTCGGATGTCCGCAAGCTGCCCGGACCTCACGTGGAGAGTGGAGCTCGACACACCTTGGCACAGGAGCGCTGTCAGCTGGCGTCGGCTAGAGTTTCTCAGTTGCGAAACAGTGCGACGTGCCCTCCCTCACCAGGTGTGCCCGCGCAGACGGCAAGACGGCAGCAGCTCCAGCTGCACAGCATACCAGCCACAGTGGTCCCCCCCCCGCCGCCCCTGATGAAGGAATTCACTCCGCCGCCTCCAAGGTTTGGGCTGCCACAGCGAATGCGCTGACAGTGCACACCAGTCTCTGGGATCCCTTGCCGCATTGCCCGGGCGCCCCGGGCGTCCTCCTCCTCCTCCTCCTCCTCCTCCTCATCCTCCTCCTTCTCCTCCTCCTCCCTCCTCCCTCCGCCTCCTCCTCCTCCTCCTCATCCCTCCTCCTCCTTCCTCCTCCTCCTCCTCCTCATCCTCCTCCTCCTCCTCCCTCCTGAGAGGGCGGGGCGCCGCGCGGCGAGAGGCCGCGAGCTCAGCGACGACGAGGCCCAGCTGGTCTGCGTCCGGGCCCACAGCGGAGCCCACTCCGTCCGGGTGGTGTTCTACACTAGCGAGGGTGGGCCCGGGCCTCCGCCTCTGCCTCCTCCACTCCAGCAAGGCTTATGATGCTCCAACCTGCTTACCAGGAAGAATTTCGAGCGCCCAAAACAGTGCCGAAACTCGAGGGTTTTCACGTGTCGGTCCCTGGGGGGCACTCGGCCGACACTGCTTCGACACTCTTTGGACACTTTTCCGGGTGCTCGAAATTATTTCTGGGATATGGTCCTTAAGTACGATGGGAGCAGCATAAAGCAAGGGAGGAAGAACCACCCGGGCCAGACAACTGGCGTTTACGAAACGGCCCTGGGCGTTGACTTTGCAGGGCCTTGCTCTGCGTGCTTCCTTCCCTGGGTGCGTTTACTAAACGGCTTCGCGTGTCGGGGTGGTTACGGTGGAGGCGTTTGTTAAGGAATAGTGCCAGGAGGCTTCAGACCCTGGAGGGTTCCTTCTCTGATGAGGGCGGCGGTGATAGCCATGGCCGATCCACTGTTGGAGTTCCACCGGCTTCCAGACCCTGGATTCCTTTCCGAGGGTTTCCTTATCCAATGCCATCGCCGTATTGTCGGGGTGGATTCTCCACACACTCTCCAGCCGGGGTCCTCCTCCTCCTCCTCCTCCTCCTCCTCCTCCTCCTCCTCCTCCTCCTCCTCCTCCTCCTCCTCCTCCTCCTCCTCCTCCTCCTCCTCCTCCTTCTCCTCCTCCTCCCCCCTCCTCCCCTCCTCCTTACTCCTCCTCCTCCTCCTCCTCCTCCTCCTCCTCCTCTACTCTCCTCCTCTCCTCCCCCTCCTCCTCCTCCTTCTCGTCTCCTCCTCCTCCTTCCTCCTCCCAGGCCGCCGGGCCAGGGGCCCAGGGACCACCCTCTCGAGGCGTTGAAGGCCTCTCGGACGGCAGGCTTCTCGCTGGCGTCCCCTCCTCCTTCTCACGGCGAGAGTTTACTAGCCGGTCGCGGGGCCCTCAGAAGGAGAGGCCGCAAGGAGAGGGCCCGGGAGGCAGCTCCGGACAAGGGGACCGGGTCGCGCCCCTCTAGGCCTCGAGATGGGGTCAGGAGATAGATGGGTCGGAGGGTCCCGCGCCAGATCGCCGATGCATCGGCGATGCGGCTCGATGCGGAGCCCGTGTTTCCCCACGCGGACGTCGCCGATGCATCGCCGACGTCGCCGATGCATTGCCGGTGCATCGCCGATACATCGCCGATGCATCGCCGATACATCGGCGATGCGGCGCGATCCTCCGACCCCATCTACTCCGACCCCATCTAGGAGGCCTCTAGACCCCTGTGGGTCGACGCCATGAGAAAAAATCGTGACGTCGAGCCCAGAGGTCCAGCGCGTTGACAAAAAGCAAGGCGGGTGTGTTTCGCGTTTTTCGGCCTCTAGGGGCCCTCGCCGGGCCCTGGGACCGTCAAAAAACGACTCAGGATGAAAAACTGGCCCCAGGGAATTGGTCGAGACTTCCGGGGACCCCGTATTGAAAAAATCACGACATCGGATCTCTGGGAGGGTCGGGGAGGTGGGAAGACAGGTTGGGGTGAGGGAGGGAGGGAGGGAGGGAGGGAGGGAGGGAGGGAGGAGAAGGAGGAGGAGGAGGAGGAGGAGGAGGAGGAGGGTAGGAGGAGGAGGAGGGAGGAGGAGGAGGAGGAGGAGGAGGAGGAGGAGGTGCATCTTGCTCACGTTCGAGGAGTGAGGGAGGAAGGAAGGGGTAGGTCCCCACCCCTGCTTCTCAAGCGGCACCTCCCGACACAAGAGGTGGGCGCGGCGGGCGCTAGTAGCCCGCGGCGCCAGGACGGACTCCCGAACCCTGTGGGTTCGGTAGCAAGTCTCGGGGGTTCTGTCTTAAGCGTCGGTTTAGTGCCGATTAGCGTTTGGTATTCGATGAGGTAGCGTAGATCTAGCGTCGGATGTGGTCGGTTTAGCGTCGATGTAGCGTCGGCCAGCGTCGATCCACAAGAGCCAACAAGATGGTATGGTAGGCTCCCGTGAGTTGCCGCAGACGGTGGGCCAGGTCCTTCGTCGCTTCCTCTCTGCCCGAGTCTGGGGCGATTGCAGGTTTTTCTTTTCCTTGCCCTGCGGTCGACATCGATCGGCGGACCTTCGGCCACGCTCGAGAGACGGTCTGGCTGCACGGTTTGGACTGTTCCCTTTCAGAAGAGCTGCGAGGGTGGGGCAGGTGACCGAACAAGAAACAACCGCATGAGCATAAATTGTCGGGAGTCCGCGCGCATTTCCTGACTGGGGTCGGCGCTGGGCCCCCCCACCTGCGCGCCACGCGCGCCAGGAACGGCGCTGGAGGCGCCGCCAGGAAGGCGCAGCGCCGACGCAAGAAATCCGCGCGGACCTCCCCGACAGTTTATGCTCAAGTCGGGCCTGCCCCTCCTCAGGAGGAATATTCAAAAATAGTCAAACGCTAGTGCGGGCACGATGTTTGCGATTATGTTTTGGTCTCTTTTGAACACTCTACGACTAGTTTGATCGTTCGTTCAAAATCCGCCCGTAGGGGGGGACACGCCCGACCTAAGTTTATGCTCGTGCTTCCAGAGGCAAAAGCCGGGTGCTGCCAGGTGCGGCGCGGGCCCGCGGCGCCAGTGAGCGGCCCGCGCCGTTCTGGGCCCTCTGGGCCCGTCTTGGCCTCGTGGGGGTTGCTCCGGAGGCCGCCTCAGCCCTTGAGATCGCGGAGCCTTGCGAGAGCAAGGGGGCAGCGACCTGAATTAGACAGCACTATTAGACTAAGCCGAAAGTAGGTCCCCGACATGCGTGCCAGTATGCCTGCACAGCGTGGGCCGCGACCTGGCAAAGTAGGCCCACCGCCGCCAGGGAGCGACGGCAACGGCGAACAAGTAAAGCATTCAAGGCGAAGGCAACGGCAAAAAGTAAAGCCTCCCTGGTGAAGCTGTGGCCACCTTGGGCCAGGGACACCCTTTCGACAGAACGCAAAGCAGGAAGGAGAAGCAGAGCTGGCACGAGCGTTAGAAACACAACCCCTATCCTGGGATGGGGTGCCTTTCAGTCATTCGTGTTGGGTTTGTTTCCGCCTCGGGATGTCTTTTCCCCAGCCGTCCTGTGGTGTGGGGTCTTCGAGGAGACAGCGCCCCGCCTCTCCCACCCGCTGCCCTCCCTCCCTCCCTTCTCCTCCCCCCCGCCCCCTGCCGCCCCCGCCCCTGCCCTCCGCACGCCCCTGTCTCGCCACACCCCTCACACGCTCCGCGGCCGCATCGGGAGCTCCTCCGAAGGCTCCCCGTGGCCGCGTACGCGTGCGCCCGCGCTTCCCAGGGCAGCGCTCCGTGGCCCCCCTGGGGAGCTCCGCCGAAGGCCCCGGTGGCCGCGGCCGCACGCGCGCCCCCCTTCCAGCACAGTCTCTCCCCCCCCATTCCAGGATACACATTGTTCATGTCTGAGTATTCGCAAGTTCCTTGATTTTTTTCTTGGGGGGGGCAAGGATCCTTTCATTTCCACTTGTTCTATGCTGGGCCTCTTTCCTGGCCACTGGGGGGCCGGGAACAATTAGAAACGAGCACGACTAGAAATGAGCACGACTAGAAATGAACGACGTGTACCCCGTGCGCACTTCTCTGCCCGTGAGTTCCACCGCAGGCGGTACCCGCAGCGCGATGTTCACCCCCGCAGACGGTGGGCCCTTCGCCGGGATCGCTGTTCCAGGATCATCTCCGTGGTGCCCTAGGGGCCCTCGGCGGCGGGGCCCTTGCTCCCGACTCCCGCTCTGGTGGCCACGTCCCGACGGTGGAGCTGAGCCTCGCAGTCCGCACAGAGGGCGCCCGAGGGACGGACTCCCCCCCCTGGATACGACATGGATCCGCTTTGCCCCCACAGGGGGGGGGGCAGAGCGGAGGGCGAGTGCCCCCGTGAATGGTGGGCTCACCTGCAGCCGCCGCGGACGACGAGGTGCGCCCAGAGCGCGACCCCGAAGGCGGAGGCGGGCGCGAGAGTGGAGAGTGGAGGAGGAGGAGGAGGAGGAGGAGGAGGAGGAGGAGGAGGAGGAGGAGGAGAAGGAGGAGGAGGAGAAGGCGGAGGAGGAGGAGGAGGAGGAGGAGGAGGAGGAGGAGGAGGAGGAGGGTGTGGAGGGGGAGAGTGGAGCGGGGAGGAGTCAGAACGGGGGAGCGGCGCACTTCCCGGCGCGATCCGCGCCCGCGAGCGCCCGCGCGCGGTGGCGGTGAGCGGTCATTCGCTCCCCCCTTGCAAGTGCTGCCGTGCTCGTCGTCGCTGTGCGCGCTGGCCGTTTTCGATCGATCGATCTGGAAGCAAGGGCCCACCTTTGGACTTGTGGAGGACGATAAATGGAACATTTAAAACAACATGCTTAAAACATGTTTAGAACATGTTCCGACATTTTAAACACATTCTTAATTCAATGATAGGACTGTTAGGGTGTCCATTGTCGTGGCATCCACAACTTTGGACCGAAGGATCGAACGTTTACGCGCATGCCGTTGCTCATTAGTCGATGTTCGGGTATAGCCAGGACCCCAGGAGAGGGGGCCCGGTCAGTAGTGGGGCCCCGGAGCCCCTAAGTTGGCCTGAGTCACCAAACCAGGTCTGCCGTAGCTGGTGCTTTTTCGGGTGACGGCAGTTCCGGTCAGTAGAACAGGGCGGGGGGGATGGGCGTCCCCCAGCACACATCACTAATTAACGGGCGAAGAACGGTGTAAAATAAGCTTCTTCGCTGTCGGGGGCGCCTGTCCCAGGGCGGCTGGAAAGTTTATACCCTTACGGTGGCACCGTAGGGGTATAAACTTTCCAGCCGCCCAGGGGCAGGTGTCCCCGACGGCGGAAAGTTTATGTTATACCGTTCTTCGCTCGCTGAACTAAACCAGGTCCCACTAAACCCAGTTCCGTCAACGCCAGAGATGCGTCGGGGTGCACCATCTTCCCATCGCCCGCTCTGCATGTCGTGGTCGGTCGTCGATCGGTCCTCCATCCTTGCTCGCTGTTTCCCTTTTGCCTCTCCGTCCGAAGTGGGATAATCCATGTCCTCTTATCAATCAGAGAGGCTGCTGCCGCCCTGCCCTCCCGCGGCTCCGATTTTTCGGCGTCGGTGCCAAGGTTGTGTGTTTGCAGGGCTGTACAGGTTGGCCCTCGGTCGGAGTCGAGCAGTACTTCATGGCTATCGCTGGGGTCGGGTTGATGGGTTGGTCGACCGACCCCATTTGGGGAGCCTCGAAACGGAAGGCAAGCCTGGCAAGTGGAATAGTCTTGGCCGTAATTTGCCTGGACGGGCACCGAGGCGAGCGAAACATGTTGTGCAAATGGCGGTAGGCACGGATGTTGTGGGTTCGGGTAGAGAGCCAGAAATATGGTGTGCGATTGCATAGTTGGGTGTTGTTTCGCGGTGCCTTCTGAATCAGACCTTTGATTGCGTGGGTCACAATGTGCTAGCGATCATGGAAGCTTTTGAAATACCATGTTTTGCATTCATGGGCAGGGAGGTGAGCGTGCTTTCATTTTGGACTCCATCGAGGCGATGATGTGGATGTCCGACACGCATCAAGCTTTGGTCAGGTTGCGTTTTGCCACGAGTTGGTCGCATCGAGGTCGAATCGCATCATATCCAGAGCGCACAAAACATATTCAACAGATGGAAGTGGGTGCGACCTTTATTAGGATGAACATTCCGCTGGAGACTTGATGCGCATACGCATCAATAAGCGACGCAATGAGATGCCACACAATTCAAAGCGCAGCGCAGCACAGCAATCCAGAGCTTAGGCATCACATTATCCTATACCCTGTGCCTAGCATGGCAGAACGTACCGTGGCGTTTGCAGCATTGCACAATACAGTTAGGTATCGCATTGACTCTGATCGCAATACGTAGCATCGCTTTGCTAAACCCAGCATGCCGTCGCGCGAAATGCATAGCATAGCATTACGTGGCATAACATAGCATAGACGGGAAGCATTTACGCGAACAACTAGCGCCCATGTAACCAGGGTCCGTTGTGAACAAAAGGTCGGACAGAGTCTTCTTGCACACAAAAATTGATAAGCCAGGAGGCGAGTGCATGCTTTGACTTTTGGCTACCCTCGCTTTGGGGGCCCCGCGGGGCGGGATGGGATGGGAACAGGGGCAAAGGGTAGGGCGAGCCAGGAGGCGAGTGCATGCTTGGGAACACGTGAGCCCGATCCGGAGTGTGGGGCTCACGGGCTCACCTTCGCCTCACGAGTTAGAAGTCAGTTTCGGCAACGTTATGTTGGGCGCTCCCCCCAGCATTGCTATTCCTCATGATCGAGGTTCGTGGGTCCAAGTTTGAGGTTTTGATTTCTCCAAACCATCCAGCTCCCCACATCACTCCTTCCTCCTTGCTCCTTTCTCCTCACCATCCCTTCTCCCACCCCTGCGTCTGCCCTCCGCACAACAAATTCGTCGCACCGCTCACACGTCTCGTGGCCCCATAGGGAGCTCCACCGAAGGCCCACGCGACAGGGTTCGCGTGCGGCTCCTCGCCCACCGCATGTCCATGTCGGAACACACCTCACGCGCTTCGTGGCCCCACAGGGAGCTCCACCGAAGGCCACAGTGGCAGGGTTCACATGTGGCTCTCCGCCCACCGCATGTTAATTTCGGCACACCACTTACACACTTTGTGGCCCCATGGGGAGCTCCACCGACGGCAATAGTGGCAGGGTTCACATACGTCTCCCCGTCCACCGCATGTCCATGTCTGCGCACCTCTCACATGCTTCGTTGCCCCATGGAGAGCTCCACCGACACCGAGAACGATACTCACGACGGGGTCCTTCGCCTGGAAATATGACTTGTTTAGCGTTGGGTGTACGTGTCATGCCTCGGGCCTCCAGAGGCTTCTGGGAGCCTCAGGGACCTCTGAAGGCTTGGTGGGACCTCTGGAGATCTTCGGTGACCCCCCTCCCTCTCATCCTCCGCTTCATCTTCCTCATCAGTTTGGGATGCGATTGTGAGCCTCTGGTAGTTGCTCGAAGGCGGTGCAGACAAAAACCTCCTTACCTCAGATTAACCAGAGCAAAACTTCAGCTCCGAAGTGCGGTCTCTCGTCATTTGGCCTGCCGCTGCGTTTCACAGACAGTACCTTGGCGAAGGCCGAGTATTGGACTCCGAACATACAAACTTTACGTGAGCTGTAGAATTGCCCCTCTCACTCTCCTCTACCTCTCGGAGGGGTTGGGAAGGAAAGGATGGAGCAAAAGATGTAGGAAGGGAGGGAGAACAAGAGAGTGGCGATGATGATGTAGAGGCTAACTGGCGTCGGCTACGACTGTGCAAACTGTGGCAGACGGCACAGCGGAAGGGAAGGATAGGAGGGATCGGATAGATCGGGGTTGGAAAGAGAGAGAGAGAGAGAGAGATAAACAAAACAAACATAAAGAAATAAATAAAGAAAGAAAAAGAGACAGAGAGAGAGCGAGAGAAGAAAGGAGAGACTGAAAAACAACAAAACGAGAGAGAGAGAGAGAGAGCGAGGTGGGACAGGAGGTCCAGAACGGCCAGGAGGGACAGGAGGGACCTGCGGAGGCTAGCGCAACAGCGCGGCGGCGCCCGGCGGAGGTGGACTCGAAGCTTCGAGGACACGGGGCTGCGGCCAGGCATGTACCCCTTCAGGCGCGGTCCCGGTGCTCGCCTTCTCGCTTTCCACTGCCCGCACGTCGCCTACGCCCTCGCCCGCGCTGCCCTCAGCCTTCCCATGTTACCTAACAGCGAAGACTGATAGGTTTCTAGTTGACTCAAAAGAGCTCACAGATCACTCCACAGGGGGGTCCGGGCAGGCGTTGGGAGTTGCCGGCCGGGCCTGTGCCGGGCTCGTTTTTCACCAACAGTCACACACTTCGTCCTCGTCGACCTCTCAGAACCCCATTCCCAGGCCACATTCTGAATAACCGGATGCAACAGTCACACACTTGGTGCTCCTTGACCTCCCAGAACACCATTCCCGGGCCACATTCGGAATAGCCGGACGCAACAGTCATACAATTCTTCGTACTTGACACCCCAGAACTCCATTCCCGGGCCACATTCTGATTAACGGGATGCAACAGTCACACATTTCGAGCTCTTTGGCATCCCAGAACCCCATTCCCAGGCCACATTCGGAATAACAGGATGCAAGAGTCACACACTTCGTGCTCCGAGACCTCCCAGAACGCCATTCCCAGGCTACATTTGGAAAAATCGCACACAACAGGTATACACGCCGGGCTATCTGGCTGTCTGGAACGGCAATCCCGGGATACTTTCTTTATTACCTAACAGCGAAGACTGATAGGTTTCTAATAGGGTAAAAAGAGAGCAGCACATTACTCCACAGGGGGGTCTGGGCAGCCGTTGGGGAGCCGTTGGGGGGCCGTTGGGGGGCCGTTGGGGATTTCCGGGGAACTTCGTTTTTCGCAAACAGTCATACACTTCGTGCTCTTCGACCTCCCAGAACTCCATTCCCGGGCCACATTCTGAATGCCCGGAGCCAACTGTAGGCCACTTCGTGCTCTTCGAGTTCCCAGAACTCCATTCCCGGGCCACATTTTGAATGCCCGGAGCCAACTGTAGGCCACTTCGTGGTCTTCGAGTTCCAAGAACTCCATTCCTGGGCATGATTTTGAATGCCCGGAGCCAACTGTAGGCCACTTCGTGTTCTTCTAGTTCCCAGAACTCCATTCCTGGGCCACATTTTGAATGCTGAGGCAGGCTGATGCTGCGGCCGAGGCAGGCTGAGGCTGAGGCAGGCTGAGGCTGAGGCCGAGGCTGAATGCAGACTGAGGCTGAGGCTGAAGCAGACTGAGGCTGAGGCTGAGGCAGGCTGAGGCTGAGGCTGAAGCAGGCTGATGCTGAGGCAGGCTGAGGCTGAGGCTGAGGCTGATGCAGGCTGAGGCTGAGGCAGGCTGAGGCTGAGGCCGAGGCTGAAGGCAGACTGAGGCTGAGGCTGAAGCAGGCTGGGGCTGAGGCTGAGGCAGGCTGAGGCTGAGGCTGAGGCAGGCTGATGCTGAGGCAGGCTGAGGCTGAGGCTGAGGCTGATGCAGGCTGAGGCTGAGGCAGGCTGAGGCTGAGGCCGAGGCTGAAGGCAGACTGAGGCTGAGGCTGAAGCAGGCTGAGGCTGAGGCTGAGTCAGGCTGAGGCTGAGGCTGAGGCAGGCTGATGCTGAGGCAGGCTGAGGCTGAGGCTGAGGCTGATGCAGGCTGAGGCTGAGGCAGGCTGAGGCTGAGGCCGAGGCTGAAGGCAGACTGAGGCTGAGGCTGAAGCAGACTGAGGCCGAGGCTGAGGCAGGCTGAGGCTGAGGCTGAGGCAGGCTGATTCTGAGGCAGGCTGAGGCTGAGGCTGAGGCTGAGGCAGGCTGAGGCTGAGGCAGGCTGAGGCTGAGGCCGAGGCTGAAGGCAGACTGAGGCTGAGGCTGAAGCAGGCTGAGGCTGAGGCAGAGTCAGGCTGAGGCTGAGGCAGGCTGATGCTGAGGCAGTCTGAGGCTGAGGCTGAGGCTGATGCAGGCTGAGGCTGAGGCAGGCTGAGGCCGAGGCTGAAGGCAGACTGATGTTGAGGCTGAAGCAGGCTGAGGGCGAGGCTGAGGCAGGCTGAGGCTGATGCAGGCTGAGGGTGAGGCTGAGGCAGGCTGAGGCCGAGGCTGAAGGCAGACTGATGTTGAGGCTGAATCAGGCTGAGGGCGAGGCTGAGGCAGGCTGAGGCTGAGGCAGGCTGAGGCTGAGGCTGAGGCAGGCTGAGGCTGAGGCTGTGACTGCGACTGCTGTTGCCACTGCGACTGCCATCGCGAATGCGACCACGACTGCGAGAACAGCAGAATTCTACAACAGGATTCTTATCTGAATCTTAAGGGGAATGCTTCCAGATATGCTCCTACACATCGCTGTTAGGTTGCTTTGCCGGGATAATATTTTTAGGAGGAGGAGGAGGTTCCTCTGTAGAAGGACATGCCCGATCTAAGCCTACTTGGCCCGAGCGTGGCATCACCTCTGCGAGCACCATCGCCCCCCTCGCTCTCTGCCTCTCCCTGTGGCTGCGCCCGCGCCCCTCGCGTCCCGCGTCTCCCCTCCCCTTTCTTCCCCTCCCCCTCCCTCCCCCCTCCGCCCCTTCCTCCCCCTCCCCCCCCCCCGCCTCTCCGCGCCTCCCGTCCCTCTCCCCGGGCCCCCCATCCGGGACTCTCCCCTGGCCCTGCCCCCGCTGCCCTCTGCACGGGCCCCTCCCCCCCCCCCCCCCCCCCCCCGCGGCCGGTGCCCGTGCCGCTGCTCGGCCCCATCTGCTCCTCTGGCCAGCCTCGGGAGCGAGAGAAGGACGCACACCCAGAGATCCCACACAGTGAGAAAGTCGAGGCAGAGGTTTTTCGCATTTTCTGGCCTCCGGGGGTCCTCGCCGCCGGGACCGTCAAACAACGACTCAGGATGAAAAACCCGTCCTGGGGAATGGCTCGAGACTTCCAGGGACCCCGTATTGAAAAAATCACGACGTCGGATCTCTGGGAGGACTCACATGCAGTGGGGGCGTTCGTCCAGGAATGTGCCCAGTGGGCTGCAGACCCTGGAGGGTTCCTTGTCCGATGAGGGCGGCGGTGATGCCCATGGCCGATCCACGATTGGCTTTCCACTGGCTTCCAGACCCTGGATTCCTTATCGAAGGTTTGCTTATCCAATGCCACCACACGATTTCGAAAGTGCACACGGGGCGCTCCAAAAAAGGGCTTTGCCTTCGTCATCTCCTCCTCGGCGGAAGGCGGCGGAAGTAAAACGAGACCGCCTCCGCCGGCGGAAGCCGGCGGAAGGACGGCGGGGGCGCGTGAGGGCGGGGGCGCGTGAGGGCGGGGCCAGAGCTGCTCTTGTCCTGCGCTCGCGCCCCTCGTCTCGGGCCCTCTCGTCTGAAACACAATATTTTAGATGCGCCGATTTCAGGTTTTGACTTTGGCCCCTCACGAAGCGTCCGTCCCGAAGGTAGTTGGGCGCAGTGCTGTGAAGAAAAGGAAGGACGGCGGAAGGCGGCGGAAGCACCAGATGCGCCCCCCAAGAGATGAAAACGTTTTTGAGTTCAGGGTCTCCGGAATCCGCCGCACGTCGCGAACGTTCGTGTCGCGCGGCTGGCCTCGCGGATTTGGGGGGCCGTACTCGTGTACGTGGTTTGGCGCGTGCGTCTTGTGTGGGCTCCCTACAGTTGTGGAAGTCGATTCAAGGAGAGGAAGCATGCTGCCAATAAGATACAGGCTTATTTTGAAAAGATGTTTCAAACATGTTTTACATGCATATAAAACACATGTTTGAAGCATGCTCAGAATATGTGTTACACATGTTAAACATATTGCGAAGGCCTTACGGCCAGTGCCGCCGACCCTGAAGGGCGACGACGACGACGGCGACGGCGACGGCGACGGCGACGACGAGCGCTCTCGGGGGTCTCTTGAGGGTAGTTTTGGTGCCTCTTCGGAGGCTCTTGGGGCCTCTTGGGAGCTTCGTGAGGGCCTCTTGGGGCTTCCTGGGGGTCTCTTGGGGGCCTCTTGGGGCCTCTTGGGGGGCTTCTTGGGGGCCTCTGGGGGCCGCCCGGGCGCCTCTCAGGGCGAGGGCTCGAAATGTCCGTTCGGCTCCCCTGTCTGGGCTCCCTCTTGGAGCCGTCTTCGGGGCCTCTTGGGCCGTCTTGGGGGCCTCTTGGGTCGTCTTGGGGCCATCTTGGGTCGTCTTGGGGCCGTCTTGGGGGCCTCTTGGGCCGTCTTGGGGCGATATTTGGGGCCTCTTGGGCCGTCTTGAAGCGTCGGGAAGCCGAAAACGCGAGAACTCCAAAAACCGTCAAAAAACAAAGGGAATGCTATGATTTTTGCACCTTGGGGCCTTCTTGGGAGTGCTTTTGGAGGCCTTTTGGGACGTTCTCGAAACCTCTTGAGCCGTCTGGAGGCTACTTTGGCGTGTTCGACCGATAGTTCGGCGATGCGGGGGCCCTCGAGGACCGTCTTGGAGCCTCTTGGGGCACTTTTGCCGCGTCTTGGGGGTTTTCTGGGCCCCAGAACCGCCCGGGGGGGAGGCGTATCTGGGTGGCGACCCCCCCCCCCCCCCGGTGTGGAAGGGATCACAGGGAAGGGGCTTCCCTTCGACTCAGCGACAACGTTACTCAATGTCGCTTTGGCTAGCGCGCTTCAGGATGAGGGCCCATGGAAAAGAGACTGGGGACGGCGGAGACGACGAGGAGACGACGGAGACGGAGACGACGACGGAGACGACGAGGAGACGACGAGGAGACGACGGAGATTACACGACAACGACGACGACGACGACGGCGACCAACGGAAGAGCGTCTTCCACACGCCGAGGGTCGGCGGATTTGTAGTTCAATGATAGGATTGTTAGAGTGCCCATTGTCATGGCATCCACAACCCTACAGCCAGGGCCCGCCCCACTCCACGCCTCAGGCAGGTGTATAGCATGAGGTTGCGTCGCTCCGGAGCGCTCCCGAAAACACTCTCGGAGAGCTCCCGAGCGCTCTATGGCGGCCGCGCTGCCCGATGCATCCGCCAGGCCCGGCGGCTCTCAGGGGTTCCCGCTTCATCCTCGGGTGTTGCTAGGGGTGCCCCTGGCCCGAGGTGCCCCTAGCTGTTCGCTGGATTTTGGAGCCTCTGGGGTCCTCTGGGCCTCGTGAGGGGTCCCCTGGAGGCCGTCTGGGCCGCCCCGAGAATCCTGGGGGGACCTTGGGCCAGGGGTACTTCTAGCAACACCCGACATCCCCCTCCGGGTTCACCCGCGTCCCGCCTCCGTCGCAGCTCTCCCTCCCCCGAAGCAGCGCCGAGGGAGGCGGAGCTGCCTCCGGCCAGTCGGGGCTACACGAGGCGGCCATCGGAGCCTCCGGGCGCACCAGACTGCGCCCGACTCGGCCCGATACGGGCGAACAGTCTTTCCGTGCATGGGCTACGGCCCGGCTCGCCTCGCCCAAGCGGGCGCGGCCCTACGACCAGCGGGGCCGCATGGACGCCCCAGGCGAGCCAGACCGCCGGGTGCTGCTGGAAGCGCCCCTGGCCCCAAGGTGCCTCCAGGATTTCCAGGGAGGCCCCCGCGGCCTCCAGAGAGCCGCTCACGAGGCCCCGAGGGCCCCAGGGGCGCCAAGGTGGAGCGACAAGCCAGGGGCACCTTGGGCTGCGCGGCACCTCTAGAGCAGCCCCCGAGCCACCGGGGGCCCGATCGGGGCGGCCGGCCGCCGGGGCTGCCCCGGGGGGCCCCAGCCCGCTGGAGCGCGGGCGATGCTGCAGGCTTGGCCACCGCTCGGGCGCGCGCGATGCCGCCTTGGGGGGGGGCCGCCTGGGCCGTCTTGGACCGCCCTTGGCCCGCAGGGCGCCTTGGGAGCGCGGCCTCGGGGCTCTCTCTGGGCCGTCGTGTGGTCTTCTTGGGGCGCTGTGGCCTTCCTGGGGCAGCATTAGGGGTCGTCTTGGGGTCACCCTGCGCCGCCGTTGGGCCCTCTGAGGAGCCCATCTCGAAGGCCCCTTCGCCTGTCTGAGGGGCTCGGGAGCCCGGAGAGGCGCCACCGCTGGCATGCCGCAAACTCCAGCACAGGCGTGATTTTGGCATGCTCGGGTCTCTCGGGGGGCCTCCTCCTCCTCCTCCTCCTCCTCCTCCTCCTCCTCCTCCTCCTCCTGCTCCTGCTCCTCCTCCTCCTCCTCCTCCTCCCTCCTCCTCCTTCTCCTCCTCCTCCTCCTCCTCCTCCTCCTCCTCCTCCTCCTCCTCGTGGCCGTCTTGGAGGCCAGCCTGGACCGTCGTGCAGGCCATGCCTACTGGGCCATTTCGTCCGACTTGGAGGCCGTCATGGTCGTGTTGGAGGCCACTTGGGGCAGGGGGGCGGAGGGGTCCGGGCGAGCGCAGACCGAGGCTCCTTTTCCTTGTCTCCCTTCCCTCTCCCTTCCTTCCTTCCCTATCCGTTTCCTCCCCCCCCTTCCTCACCCTCCTTGCCCCATCCACCTCCCCCCTTCCTGCTCTTTTTATACTTCCCTCCTCTGCCCCTCCACTTTCCTTCCTTCCTCCCTCCCTCCCTCCTGCCTCCCCCCCCACTTCCTGCCCTCACTTTGCCTCCTTCCATCCTCCTGCTCTCCTTGTCCCTCCCTCCTCCTCTTACCTTCCTCCTCCGCCTCCTTCCTTCCCATCCGCTAACCTCCTCCTCCTCCTCCTCCTCTCCTCCTCCTCTTCTCTCTCATTGTCTCCTCCTCCTCCTCCCTCCTCCTCCTCCTCCTCCTCCTCCCTCATCATCCTCCTCATCATCCTCATCCCTCATCATCCTCATCATCCTCATCCTCATCCTCGTCCTCGTCCTCGTCCTCGTTCCTCATCCTCATCCTCGTCCCTCATCCTCCCCCTCTCCTTCCCCTTCACTCCTCCCTCTCTCCTCCTCCTCTCTCTCCTCCTCCTCCTCATCCTCCCTCCTCCTCCTTCTCCTCCTCCTCCTCCTCCTCCTCCTCCTCCTCCTCCTTCTCCTCCTCCTCCTCCTCCTCCTCCCTGTTCTCTCTCTCCTCCTCCCTCTTGCTTCCCCTCCGCTCTCCTCTCTTCGCTTCCCCTTCCCCTCATTCCTCCTGCTCCTCCTCCTCTTCCTCCTCCTTTCCCTATTATCCTCCCTCTCCTCCTCCTCCTCCTCCTCCTCCTCCTCCTCCTCCTCCACCTCCGCCTCTTCCGAAAATTGCTATTTTGAAGTATGTTCGTTGCTGGGAAGGCCAACAGCGCAGGGACGTGGTCAAACAAGTGAGCGCCCGTTGTGTTCGATGCGTCAGGGGGGCTTCACTACTGCTCCGCAAGAGGGGAAGCAACGAATAGAGCAAGGGCCCGGCACACCTCAACCGCTGCAAGCGCGGTCTCAGATGTCCTATCCACACTTCTTCCTGCTGCCTTGTTCCCTCCAAATGCTCGTTCTGCTAATATTCATAGTCGACCTTCCCGCCAGTTCTGCCTCGCGCCGCCAGTTTTTTTGTCGATGGTGCTCGTCTGCTTTCTCGAGAGCACCCCGTGTATGGAGACACGAATTTCGGAGGGCGTGGCGGAGGAAGGGCAGGAGGACCGCAGAGGGAGGAGAAGCGTGGAGCATTTGATCTTCGATGTGGCCCGCGGAGTGTTCCAGAACCTAGCTGTGGATTGTTTGTCCAGCAGCTGCGCCTCGCTGGCAGCTTTCAGCCGCCGTTGCTCTCGTGCACGTCTGCCTGACGTGGCCAGAGGTGACGCCAAAAAGCAGCTGACGCCAGAGGCATCGCGGCTGTCCCGTGAGGCACCAGCTTACGGGCAGGCGTTCGGTCTTTTGCCCATCCCGTGGAGTGGTGAAGCTGGGGAAGGCAGAGGCACAACGAGCGGGCCATTTGAAAGCACGGCGTGCGCTATCGGTCCAGATGTCGCAAATCGAGTTGCGGATCATTGTTTCACGTCCCCGTTGTGCAAAAGATGGCATCATCGCCGTGTGTTGACCAGACTAACCTTGAGCTCCTAGGTCTTTGTGCCCTCCTGTGCTTGGTGACTGCACAAGGGGCCTAGTCATTGCAGAAATACTGGGGGACCTGGACTGGATGTTATAGCGTAACCATTACCTGAGAGGCAGATCTGCTCAGACGGCCCTCGCTGGATATTAATCCCCAGGGTGTCTCGCCAGCATGATCGGATTCTAGCCAGCATGTGAGTGCAGGCCGTGACTTCGAGCACCTAGGAGATAGGCCCTGACCATTGAAGCAGGCTCAAGGCATCGAGCGCTAGGAACCATTAGAGGTGAAAGCTTTGACCAAGGCTTCCATATGCGTGGAGGACCACCCTTCGGGTGGCAAGGAGGTTAGAGGGGATGTGTGCAGCTTTAGCTTGCGACTATCGTCGGATCGGATTCACGATTTATCCACATGCCGATAGTGATGTTCCCTCTCTATCGGCCCATGCTCTATCGGCCCATGCTATAATGATCCCTCGATCTCATTACCTCCCTATAGATTGACCTAGCTGCCTACACTTCGGTTTTATTGTCCAGTCATACACGGGACGACTACGGGACAACCGCGGGCAACCACGCGAAAACCGTGCAACAACCGCGGGACAACGACGGGACAACCACGGAACAGGCACGGGACAGGTCGCGGGACAGGCACGGGACAGCCGCGGGACAGCCACGGGACGTTGAGACATCTGTCTTTTTTTGATCCCACTACCAACATAGTAGGAGGAGGAGGAGGAGGAGGAGTTCGTCAGTCTCACGATCCACCAGCTCAGCAATTATCAATGTCTTCGCCAGTCTCACTGTCTCATGCTTGCAACTACTGTCTGCATGTTGACCGGGGGCCATGGGACAGCCACCAGACCACCACGGGACAAGGCGGGACAACCACGGGACAACCACGGGACAGCCACGAGACAACCACGGGACAACCATGGAACAAGTACCAGACAACCACCAGACAATCACGGGAGCACCTGGGCAACCACGGAACAGCCACGAGACAACCCCGGGATAACCAGGGAACAACCGCTGGACACCCGCACGACGACCACGGGACACCCACTGGACAACCACCGGACCATGGCGGGGACAACCATAAGAGAACCACAGGACAACCTCGGGACGACCACAGGACAGTTTCAGGACAACCACGGGACCATTTCTAGACAGCCACGCGTCACGGGACAACCAGGGGACGACCACAAAGCATCTGGGGAACAACCACGGAACATGCACGGGACGATCACGGGACAACCCCGAGCACGCCCTGGACGGCGGGGCCCCGACTGAATTTGGGCGTGACGCAGGCTCACTTATGGCGCAGGAGCTTGCGCAGCCTCGCCTCGCCCGCCCGCGCGCCACGCACGGCACGAACCGAAACCGAAACCAATCTCCTGGCTGGGCGTCAGAGGAGGAAAGTATCACACCAGAGAAGAGCCCCAATCAGTGGATGGTTTGACATGGGATCGATAAAGAGATCGATGAGGAGATCGACCGGGAACCCTGGAACCCAGGAACCCACCGAAATCGGCCCGGAACCCATAACAGGAACCCGGGCACCCGGAGCCGGGAACCCGGGAACCCAGCCGGCCACCAACATCGGCGGGAAATGTTCGCCAAATCTTGCAATCTCCGCCAGGACCCCTTCATTGCAAGCACTGATTGGGGAAAAAGGTATCCATACCTCTGCCCTTCCCTCGTGTTCCCCTTTTTCGGGCCTCAGAGGCCCTCGTCGCCACCGCTGGATCCGCCTCGAAATTCTAGTCAGAACGCACCCCACGAGAGGTCCGTGGAGCAGCAGTTTTAGTACTTTCAAGTAGGGCATATCCGTCTACAGGAGGAATGTTCAAAAATAGTCAGAAAATAGTCCGGGGACGATTTTTATATTATTGTTTGACCACGCGTGGGTATTTCTGACTATCTTTTATTTTTCGTTGGACATCTGCATGTAGGGGGACACGCCCGACCTAACGGTACCTCTTGGACTCCCCAGTCACGAACCGAAGCCAAAATTGATCTCCCGGTCGGGCGACTTCGTTTCGGTCTCGCCCTCCAACCTCGGATTGATGAAGTAGGTGGACCTTGATCGCAGAGCGTGCCTCTTGCGGAGCTGCGACACGCGTGAGGTGTGACAGCGACTCAGAGGCATTCGGTAAATGGCTGAACAAAGCCGGTCGGCATATTACATGCATTCTCATTCTGTACGTGCTGCTCTGCTCGGCAGTTGTTTGCGTTCGTCCTCGATCGCGGTTGAAACCGTCACGCTGACGCAGCTGAATGCTAACACTCTGCTTTTGCGTTGCTGTGATTTGTGCGCCGTCCAGTACACCAGTATTGTTCTAGCGCCATACAATTCCATATCATTGTTTCCAACTGCGTCAAGATACTTCCCAGGTGCAGTCTTTCTCCAAGCCCCGCTCGCCAGGGTACATTGCCTCCAGTGCTCCGCCCTACAACCCACTATCTCGCCAATCTCCTGGCTGTCCCTCTAGTGGTGCTCCACACTGGCCATGGATTGCCCGCGAGTCGCTTCCCTTCCGCTCTCCAGTTGCGCCAGCGAAGGCGAGAGAGGGCAGGTTTGTTTAATCGACGACTTTGCAGGTACATCCGCAAGTGTCATCGCAGTTGCGGCCTTGAGCGGCACCCCTCCGTGTTCGAGCGCGCGATGTCTTGCGGTGACGAGCACGACTTCCAGGCGGCGAGGGTGGCTGCCCGCAGGGCGCGAGGGCGTTGGGCGATACAACCCGAATGCATGGAATCGGGGATTCGAGATACGACGCACGCAGATGCATGTGATTTAGAAGTGCGTGAGTGTGTGTGTGTGTGGGAGAGGGAGGGAGGGCGTAGTGTGTGTGTGTGTGTGTGTGCGTTGTGTGTGCGCGTGTGCGTCTGTGTGTGTGTGCGTGTGTATGTGTGTGTGAGTGTGTGCGCGTGTGTGTGTGTGTGTTTGTGTGTTTGTGTGTGTGTGTGTGCGTGTGTGTGCGTGTGTGTCTGTATGTGAAGTTGTGTGTGAAGTTGTGTGTCTGTGTCTGTGTGTGTGAAGTTGTGTGTCTGTGTCTGTGTGTGTGCGTGCTCCTGGGGGCCAACACGGATGCACCGCCCGCTGGATGCGGACCCTGGGGAGGCATCCCCGGGAATGCCCAGAGCGAGTCTCGGGCTTCGGCGCGGCCAGGCTCCCCCCCCGGCCGGCCCCGCGGGAGCACCGCCGGCGGCTCCCCCCCGCGCGGCGCAGCGCGGCCGCGACGCGGCGCGGCACGGCGTCAGCACGGCCGCGCCCGGGCGCGGGGCTGGGCCGGCCGAGCGCCGGGCCCCGCAGCGCGACCAGGCGGCCCTCTGCGCGCAGCGGTCCGCGGCCGTGGGGCGGCCTCTGCACCCCGCGCGGTCGGCGGCGGCAGCGGCCGCAGGCGCCGCCTGCTGCAGGCGGGGGCAGCGTCGGCCCCGGCGCGCCCAGGGCGGCACCAGGCGCCGCGGCAAAAGCGCGGGGCAGGAGCGTCGCCCGGCCTGGTCGGCTCATCGACGCGGAGGAGGCCGACGCCGCGGGCGAGGCCGGGCCGCCTGCCGCCGCCACGAGCACGCTGCCCAGCAGCTGCCCGAGCAGCCCCAGCGGCAGCAGGCACCCCGCAGGCGCCACGGCCGGCGCCGCCGCCGGCGGCCTCCCGCGCGCCGGGCGCGGCCGCAGCAGCCGAAGCCGCTGCGGCCACCGCCGAGCTCACAATCGCCGCCCCGGCGGACCGCGTGGCAGCGGCCGGCACGGCCGTTCGGACCACCGCCTGAACCAGGAGGGTGGCGCCACGAGTTCCCAGCCCCATCCCCGCGACCGAAAAGCGCGCGGCCGACGGAGCCCACTCGGCTCGCCTCGGGCCGATGGGAACGGACGCTCGCACCCCACGACATCCCCGAGGGTGGACGTGGAGCTTAAGCCAAAATGGCTACGTGTGTTTGTGTGAATGTGCGTGAATGTGTGTGCGCGTGCGCGTGCGCGCGTGCGTGCGAGCATGCGTCCGTGCTGCGTGCGTGCGAGCGTGCGAGCGTGCGAGTGCGAGTGCGAGTGCGTGCGTGCGTGTGTGCGTGCGTGTGTGTGTGTGTGTGAGTGTGTGTGTGTGCGTTGTGTGTGCGCGTGTGCGTCTGTGTGTGTGCGTGTGTGTGTGTGTGTGTATGTGTGTGTGAGTGTGTGAGTGTGTGCGTGTGTGTGTGTGTGTGTGCGTTGTGTGTGCGCGTGTGCGTCTGTGTGTGTGTGCGTGTGTGTATGTGTGTGTGAGTGTGTGCGCGCGTGTGTGTGTGTCTGTGCGTCTGTGTATGTGTGTGTGTGTGTTTGTGTGTGCGTGTGTGCGTGTGTGCGTGTGTGTGTGTGTGTGCATGCGTGCGTGCGTGCGTGCGTGCGTGCGTGCGTGCGTGCGTGCGTGCGTGCGTGCGTGCGTTCGTGTGTGTTTGTGTATCGGTGTGTGTGTGGGTGTCTATGCTTGTGGGGGGGAGGCTGCGTGTTTGAGAATGGCCTCTTTTATCTCCCGCGCCTCTAGTTTTCTTGCGATGCTCGTGTCTGTGTGCGTGTTTGTGTGTTGTGTGTACACCCTCCTCGGCTCTCAATTTGGGCTTCGCCCCCACGCAAAGTGGTCAATCTATCGTGAGCGTAGCTCAGCTTCAACTGCTGTACCCGCCGAGTGCAACCCATCGGTGCGCCAGGGGAAAAAGTGTGTGGATGTGTGTGTGTGTGTGTGCGCGCGCGTGTGCATGTGTGCATGTGCGTGTGCGTGCTCAAGTGTAGCGCCTCGGCTGGCGAGCTTCCTCCTGTCTCGCGCCCCTCTGTGGCCACACCTGCTCCCACCGCACGGTGCCCCCCTTCCGGCCCCCGCTCGCCTGCTCTGCCCGGTGCCACTCGATCGTTTCCGCCTTGCCTGCTGCATCATGACCGCCGGCCGGCGTCTTCACGCGCACGCTGCGGCTGAGCTTCTGTCAAGCAGTGGCGAAGCGTCCTGGCTCGCCTATAGCCCTACCAAACAGTGTTCTAAGTACCTTGTGTGGTTTCCACGAAATGTTCTTAGAACATCTGTGGCGGAGTCTGTCTTGTTTTATCACATCGGGTTTATGTTCTAAGAACATCGATTTTGTTCTTAGAACATTTTGGGGTTCTAAAGACCACTTCGTGGTAGGACTATAGGAATGCCGGGACGGTCGGTCCCTGCTCAATTCTGCTGATTCTTCTGCACGTGACTGCCTCTCCCAGTCCACCCGCCTGATACGCCAGGTGGAATTCGACTGAGCGTGTCCGTGTCCTGGCTCAGTGCGCGCGACGCATCGCCGCCGAATCGCTGGAGGAGCAGTGCACTGAGCGCATGTGTCGGTGCCGCTCGTCGTGTTTTGTGTGTGCTGCGTGTTGCGTGTGAGTGTGTGCTCGAGTGAAGAGTGGCTGGATGCTCCTGCGCTGGCATGTGCGGCGCCTGTGTGGTGTACTCTGGAT